CAACTTCTGAAGAAGAACCAAAAAGCATAGAATCTTATAATAATATTTTGCTGGTAGTTTCAACAGATGGAGCCAACAAAGTTTGCGAGGGAAATATTTTTAGTGCAATATAATATTTAATGAGAATATTTTGCTATGCCTGCTTAAATATTCAGGTGAGCGATATAGGCCCTCTTGGGCCTCTTGGTTTTTTTTTAAATGTTATTGTTGATTTCTTGAACAAGAAAAAATCCACTACACATAATACAGTGACAATATGTTTTAAAGTCATCTAAGTTTAAAATGAATAATTATTAATCAGCTGAGATTTCAGATGAATAATGATCCTATGTCAGCTGATTCCCAACACTGGGTACTTGTATATTTGCAAGTAATATTCATATGTTCATTCCAACAAGTTTGTTAAATTAATGCTTATGATTATCTGATATTTTATTGACACTCTTTTTCACTGTGTACTTTGTATAGGTAAGAAATACGCAGAGCTCCATGGTGCTGGTGGTAAAAAGGAAGGCAAGAGCAAGAAGGAACAGCCCAAGAAAGAAAAGGTTTGTAAAACTTTGTCAATATACTCTGTAGTCAGTTGTATGCTTAAAGTTTAAATTTATATAATCACAAAAATTTTGAAGAGCCCAACATCTGATGAAATCGCTATTTCTCAAAATTACGGAAGAACAGATCTTTTATCAAATTTCACGTGGAGGTTCCCATTAGACTTCAGGTGTGCATGTTTTATTTTGAGCTCTTGATAGATTTCCCCAAACTTTATAGTTTGGTTTTGCTTGGCCCAAAGTTCAAAATACTGATATTTATACAGTTCATAGCTATTCAAGTACTTTATTAACACTAACAATGTTAAAACTTATGTATTGGAATTTGTTGAAAATGTGCTGTGGGATTGAAATAGGTAATGAAACATTTTTTCAGAAGAAGGAAGTAGAAGAAGAGGAATTACCACAACTACCCAGGGAGAAGAAGGACCCCTGGGCAGATTGTCCACAGGGGTTAGTGTTAATATCTAGTATATGATGTCTAATGGAGTTCACTCACAAGTGTAGTTGTTCAGAGCTTTGTGTCATTCATATCTATTCAAAGGGACATTTTACATGAAGTATGGTAGTTTTGATGTACAAAACATAAAGTATTTCCTTATTAAGGAAAGGGCGTTGAAGATGTTCATGTAACTTGTGCCCAATCCTTTTGCTTTCTGGCAGTAAAATATGTTAAAACTAAAACTTAATCATAAACATGTGTCAAGAAAAGCATATAAAATATCCAGATGTTATTGTTAGGTGGGTTTTTTTTTGTAAAAATTATCTCTCCATTTAGAAGAAAACCTTTCTAGACATCAGATTTCTATTTCAGAGCATTCAACTATGATGAATACAAAAGGGAATATTCAAACAAGGATACACTGAAAGAAGCTCTGCCATACTTCTGGAAAAACTTTGAGCCTGAAAATATGTCCATTTGGCATTGTGATTACAATTACAGGAAAGACCTTACAAAAGTTTTTATGACCTCTAACCTTATCAGAGGTAAGTGCCCCCAAAAATGCTGTTCTACTTTTTAGCTCACCTGCCCGAAGGGCTAGTGAGCTTATGTCATGACTTGCTGGCCGTCTATCGCCGTCCGTCAACTATTCCTTTTAACGACTTTTTCTGAAGAATGGACAGGCCTAGAGTCATGATATTTGGCTGAAAGCTTCTTTGGTAGGAGCCTGACAAAGTTTGAGAACGAATATGATATTGACCTTATTCCAAGGTCACGGGGGTCAAATGTGTCCACCACTTCAAATGACTTCTGAATAATGGAAAGGCTTATAATCATAATATTTGGCTGGCAGCTTACTTAGATAGAGCCCAATAAAATTTGAAAACGAAAATGACTGACCTAATTTCAAGGTCTTGGGGGGTCAAATGTGTCAAACTCTTCAAAGAACTTCTTCTGAAGAACTGAAAGTTATAGAATCTTTATTTTTGGCTGGTGGACCCTGGGATAGAGCCCGGTCAAATATGTCGAACGCTTAAAACGACTTCTTCTGAAGAACTAAAATGTATAGAATCTTCATATTTGGCTGGTGGCTTCCTGGGATAGATATCATCAAAGTTTGAGAATGAAAATGACCTTGACCTACTTTCAAAGTCACAGGTGTCAAATATGTCAAAAACATTAAACGACTTCTGAATAATCCAAAGGCATAACATTTTAATATTTGGATGATGGCTTCCTGGGATAGAGCTCACCAAAGTTTGAGAAGGAAAATGACAATGACCTACTTACAAGGTCACAGGGGAAAATATGTCAAACAACTTCTGAAGAAGAACCAAAAAGCATAGAATCTTATAGTCATATTTGGCTGGTAGTTTCAACAGATGGAGCTGACAAAGTTTGCGAGGGAAATAGAATATTGTAGTAATATTTGGCTGGTAGTTCAATAGATGGAGCCGACAAAGTTTGCGAGGGAAATATTTGTAGTGCAATATGATATTTAAGAAGAATATTTTGCTATGACGGCTTAAATATTCAGGTGAGTGATACAGGGCCTCTTGTTTAAAAATCAGTTTGTTTTAGATTTAAATCATAAACCAGGCCACCAGAAAGATGAAATAAAATTTCTTGGTTGTTTTGAAAGTGAATTTATCTACTAATACACCTGTATCATATTTGACATAATTTTTAAAAAGATCTATAACACCAGGTGAGCTTTTCATTCCCCTAGTCAGGGAAAATCCTTGAATTTGAGAGCAGTGGGCCAATTTCAGCTATTTTTAGTCGATATCAAAATGAAGAGGGGCCATTTTATATAACATTAAAAGAAAATTGGAATGTGGAGGGGTCAATTTCAGTTTTGATGGGTCAATGTCCCTGTCTGAGACTCTTTATTTCAATAATTACAAGAAGTTTTATCTGATTTTGGGTTTCACATGCATATTGGTTGTTTTTAATATCTTGTTCCTGTGCTATTGCTTCACACTGATGTAATTTCACTAGTGTGATGCAGACTTCTTGGTTAGCTTTCATAGCTCTTGGACATAATTTATGCAATTCTGTCTTTGATTTGATGTGATCAAAAAGTCTTACCCACTGGAGCTTATTGATGTATCTGTTTATTTCCCTTTGATTTGAAACATAGCTCATGTGACTGTTAAGGCATTTGGGCCTTTTGTTCTGGTATGAATTCTCAATAGTTTTGTTTCTTTCTCTCCAGGATTTTTCCAGAGAATTGACAAAATGCGCAAGAATGCTTTTGGAAGCATGTGCATTTTGGGAGAAGACGATGATCACAATATAAGTGGAGTTTGGTTTTGGAGGGGAAGCGGTCTTGCTTTTGAGGTAAGTTAGGAAATTTTTAATGCATGTATAATGTAGATACTTGCATACCAATGATTATTAAATAGTGATTATATATAGATATTCCAATTTCATGTATCATTTTAAGGTATATGAATGGTATATCGGGGTTCATGCCAGCAGTCGCCAATAGTGCAAAATGCGAAAATTATAATAATTTGGCTATAAAAAAAAAAATAGCTTTGCCATTTTTTATGGCACATAAAAAAGTCTGTTGTTTTGTCAAGTTTTATAAAAATGTGCACTGTATCAGTACATAGCTGTAATACAGGTAAAGAGTTATTATTTAGCTGCCTTATCTAGGTGAATTCACTGCCCAATTAATTTATTTGTGTCGCACTATTGTTACAGTCACTAATCCCCTCTGAACGGCTCGCCCGTGCGCACACCGTCTGTAGCAAATAATAGGTGGTCAAGAGCCCTGGAAACTAGCCAAGGGCATTGGGGATATAATTGAGAGGGCTAAGAAATTGTTATCCCATACAAACTACCGATACCTTACACATGTAGCTAGCATATAAAACAAACAATGACGGTTGAAGAAAGACAATCTTTATTTCTAGTATGTTCACTAACTCTGATGATTATTCAGAACTAAATGTGCAGTTAAAACAACTTAAATTGCAACTGAAGTAAAAAGTCTGGTTTTAGAAACATTCCTCTTAATACTGGAATACTACACGAAATGGTCTAATGAGGACACAGATTTACTGTATATATTTTCTCCCTCAGTAACGCAATTTCGGCCAAACAGGAAGTTGTAAGTGCTGACGAATTATAAGTGTTTGGACGGATCCGGACCGAAATTCAGGATTTCTATTTTAAACAGTTAAACACTAAGATAACATTGAAAATATAATTACAATGTATTTTATAAATATCTTTGTATTTGTAATAATTAATCCCCTATTGGTGAATCCGGGGGGACTTTAGGTTTTTTCTCTGTCCGTCCGTTACCTTTGGTTAAGGTTTTGGTTAAAGGTTTGTAATGGCTTACCATTCGCTTTATGATGATGTTAGGATGCTGATTAGAGGTTCTTTAGGGGTCTAGCATTAATGTTTTTCGACTTGACTACCTTGGCCTGAATCTCCAGGTTAAAGTTTGGTAATTAATGGCTCACCGTTCACTTAATAATAGTGTTAGGATGCTGATTTTATGTACAGAGGTTCTTTAGGGCTCTGGTGTGAATCCTGATATATCATATCATTGTCCACAAATATTTGACCATAACATTTTACACAAGTGGGATCTTTTCTTTTAATCAGGTATGGCTAATTTTCAAAGGAAAAATATTTATAGGTAAAGCTAATCACATCGGTAGTAATTTGAACAGTCTTTGATTGTCCTTACCACTGATTGCTGGAAAATAGTATCCGATTACAAGAGCCTTTCTATTTCAAAAATTAAAGCAGGCATTGTTAGCTATATTTTTATTGATGCTATAGACAACAATATATTCTTATTGCATTTTTTCAATAGGTTTGTTCTAATCTCGAATCTTTCAAAATTAGAAATCAACAACAAAATTTGATATGGTTGCCATCCTGCATGCATTGATCTTTTAATACTTTCATTAATATCATTTTTTCCCCCACCTTTTCATCTTGCAGCTGTGTGACGACTGGAAGGTGGATTACGAATCTTACACATGGAAAAAACTTGACCCTAAAGATGAGAAGACAAAGAAATTGGTGCAAGATTACTTTGACATGGCTGCTGTAGTTGATGGCAAGAAATGTCTTCAGGGAAGCATCTACAAATGATGGGTGAAGGCAATGTGAACTAATTTATACTGACAGACTGGGAGGGATGGGCATACGCAATGGAAGTGCTGTGTCTTCCATGGACATTAAACATGTTGAAAGTGAACATGGAAACTGTTTTTGTGTTTTGTCTTTCAAATTGACCTCCAATTCTGGTAGCCTGATCATCAAAGTTCTAATAAATTAGGGGTATTCCATAATTTATCATATAGGAGAAGCAGGCAGCATCTGTAATAATAAATAATCGGTGGTTGGTTTAAAATCAGATCTGTCTACCAGATGCAGGTGCCAAATAATAATCACAGTGTCCGTCTATCTATCTGTTCATCCACACTTTCGTTAACAAAGATTATCTCTGATTCCAAAAGACTAATCCTTCTGAAATTTGACACTGTGGTACACAGAAAGTGTAAATGTGCAATAGGAGTTTATACATTTTAAGGTTAGGGTCACTCACTAAAACTATACCGTAGGGAATCCGAAAGTCTAATCATTTTGAAATTTGACACGGTGATGCACTGTGATACATGGACATGCAATAGGGTTTTAAAAATAGATGTTTAGTTTTTAATACAAAAAGTAATTATAAACTTGCTTTGTGAGCTTTCGAAGAGTGGAGACACTGGTCATTTGCACTCTATGCTTGGCGGAGGAAACAAAACGTTTTTGAAAGCTTTGCAAAATATGTTTTCAATTACTGTTAGTGTACAAAACAGTCTTAGCATTTATTATCTATACAAGACTGATGAATCTCGTTCTGAAAAAGGTCAAGGTCACTGGTACTGAAAATCGACCATGGGGGGTATAGTGCTTATCTTTGAAACAAGTCTTTTTAGCCCACCGTCATCTGATGGTGGGCTATTCAAATCACCCTGCGTCCGTGGTCCGTCGTCCGTCCGTAAACAATTCTTGTTATAGGTATTTCTCAAGAAGTACCAGAGGGATCTTTCTCAAATTTTATATGCAGGTTCCCCTTGCTCCTTAGCTGTGCAGGGCATTTTTTTGAGACTGGTCGGATAAACAACATGGCCGACAGGCAGCCATCTTGGATTTTGATAGTGAAAGTTTGTTATCGCTATTTCTCAAGAAGTACTAGAGGGATCTTTCTCAAATTTTATATCTAGGTTCCCCTTGGTCCTTTGCTGTGCAGGGCAACTTTTGAGATTGATCGGATAAACAACATTGCCGACAGGTAGCCATCTTGGATTTTGATAGTGTGGGTTTGTTACCGCTATTTCTCCGGAAGAACTAGAGGGATCTTTCTTAAAATTTATATGTAGGTTCCCCTTGGTCCTAGCTGTGCAGGGCAATTTTAGAGACTGATCGGATAAACAACATGGCCGACAGGCAGCCATCTTGAATTTTGATAGTGAAAGTTTGTTATCGCTATTTTTCGGGAAGTACGGGAGGGATCTTTCTCAAATTTTAAATGCAGGTTCCCCTTGATCCCTCGTTGTGTATGTTATATTTTGAGACTGATCATAAAAACAAAATGGATTAAAAGAAGAACTAAACAGATCTTTCTCATATTGCAATGATCGATTCTATTTCTTTCACATTAAGTACTGTACTAGTAAATATGTGAAATGACAAACTCACTTTGAAGGTTGGCTTTCATACACATCAGTATTAAGTTTAGATCAAAAGTTACCTCAAGGTGCATTTACTGTTTACATGACTCGATCAAACAGATTAGAGAAAAGATCGAACTGACAAAGAACTAATGAAGATGGTACAAAGGTGGGCGCCAAGATCCCTCTGGGATCTCTTGTTGTATGTAGATGTGCAATAGGGGTTAAACAGTTTTAATGTCAAGGTCATAGGGTGATACACTGTTATAATATATAGATGTCTAAAATTTGTTAGGTCAAGGTCGCTCAGTGTTGCTAAGAATAGACCCATATTTGCTGTTGGCAGTCCGAGTCGGAGCTAATTACTTGAATGAAGTCCGGTGTTTCTGCTGTCAACACCACAGCACTATTCACTAACATACCTGTATTTCTACCTATTGTATTAGAACAATTTGTTACATCATGCACATAATCTTTATCCTCATAATGTTATATTTACCTTAAAAATAAGTTTATATGACCTTGTACAAATAGTTAAAAAAAAGTTCATGATAAAAATGAGCATACTGTATACCAGGAAATTTTTCGCTGCATTTTAATTTTTGCATTTCACTCTCCGTTTAAATAAGTTGTCATGACAGCGAACGTCGGTAAACAAAATAATATGCATAAGGATTAAACGTGAAAGGCGAAAATGGATTTACCAATCAGAAGGGTAAACTTTATTCGCTGCGTAGATTTTCAGGTCCGACAACAGGGGCACAGTTCAATTTATCATTTTATATCTGAAGCCTTCTTGTTTACCATAGACCTCCGTTATAATGTATGGTAAACAAGGAGGCCCTGGATATTAATTGAACTGTGATCCGACGAAGCAACGACATAATTAGTTGTTGCTTTGGTGCACCTGATTTTTTCATATATGCACAATTGATATCATTTTAGCATTGAAATCTTACTATATGTTGGCAGCAAAAGGCAGAATTTCACACGGAGTGATCCATTCAAATTGGCAAGCGTGACTCCATTAAAACTTGCACTTCAAATTCGTGCACTTTTCTGATTAATCAATGTTTTATTCTAGATTTGACCTTTAAACAAAGTTTTAGAATAATTGCACAGGCTTCATCAACATACAGTATATATATTCAAATCATGTAATGGTACTAGCCAAACACCAGGGAGCCTGGTCGTCGTGCTATTAAATTGTTTACACCTCTGAATGTTGGTATTGTCTTAAAGAGTACTGATTTACTTATCAATAAAAAAAAAAAAAAATGGTGTTTGATAAAATTGAATTATCAAGACAAATTGTTGATAGAAAATAAGTTTAAGAAAAACAACAGCACCATCAAGTTTTGGTGACTGTTATAAAATATTCTGTCTGTTAGTTGTTATTTTTACAACATGAACAACTTCGGTGGATAAGTACATGATATTTAGTGTGGTCACAGATCAAAACAGTGGTATATATCCAAGATGGCGGACATTTGTGAACAGGGGGGTTGCTCGCAATTAAGCCCCCTCCCAACTTTTGGCCCATCTTTTTTTTTCTCAGGAAGGGGGGCGGCTTATTTACGGTAAAATACGGTAGGAGCAGCCTTTGCAAAACTCATTGCTCATGCGTATGCAAAACAAACAAAAACGAATCGTGTTGGTCTAGTTCACTGTGAAAGCATCTAGATTTATATTTTCTTAACAACAAAATAAAATAGACCCAAGAAGATCAAGCCAAATACATTTTAATTTAAAACCTATTTTGGTGCAATTGCCTGACTCGCCAAAGAATAAGCATTCTGTTTTGTAGACAGCCTTTACAAGGCTTACACTTCACTATATTCTTGTGCAAAATACGTTGTCTGTGATCGTTGTATATAGAACGCTACACGTGTCATACTATCGTAGAAACAACATAGGGTATATACCTTAATAACCCAATGATTCGGTATGATTCTATCATAAAACTATAAAAACCCACTCAAATATTGCGGCACATCAGCCCGCTACCAAACAATACGGCATAAACCAATAAGAACGAATAAAGAACGGATCAATGCACACATTTATAATTAATTGGTTTTATATCTGTTGTAGCCTTGTCCACTGGCTATAACTGCACAGGGAAGATTTGTTTATCTTATCTAAAGCTAAAGTAATATAAGGATAATACCAAATCAAAAGCTGTTCTAATCTACTCATAATTCCAATAAAAGATGATTAAAAGAGCGTCGATGATAAGGTTAGTACAGATGATCCTTTTGTACAGCATCTGTGACGTCATCAGACATGTCAACAAAGCAACACGTCGGTGTTTGTTATAGAATGCAGGGAAGGACGATGGTTAATAAAACGTCACTGAAATTGGCAGAGATGCTGTATGTGTGTGTGCTATAGAAGGGTGTGGTCCCAAAGGGTTGAACGTCCTTCAATCACCTTAAGCTGTTAATAGGACGTTAAACAAAACGGAATCAAACAAATAAGTGGAGATGCGGGATCCAGTAAAAGGAAATTGGTGAATTTCAGCCTTTAAAAGACTACTTCTAAAAGGAATGAAGGACTCGAACCAAATTTGATACGTAACATCAGAAGGACAAGGAGATGGAAAACTGTAAATGAAGGTTGTAATCCCTTTGGGTTTGGGCAAACATTAGGAAAATAACAGTTTAATCCTCAAAAGCCTACCCCTCCAGAAGGACTACAAGAACTTGTACCATATGCGTCTGAATGATAACTAGGGCTAGTCGAATTTATTTTGTAAATATTGATTTTGCATGGCCTGTTGGGCCACGTGGGCATGGCATAAGATGGGTCCAATCTACTTAGTGCAACATCAAACAGTTTTATCTTCCAAATCATGCCCCTGAACAACTACACAGATTGTTTTCATATATAGTATGAACAAAACTGAGTCAATGTGATCATATGTTGTATTAACGAGGTGGGGACCTAAAATGTGATGTTGGGATAATTTGACATCAAAATCTTTACTTCCTTTGCATCACTAGGGCAAGCTGATCATATTTTGTATAAATATTTGAATGTATGGTCCCCGGAACCGATTGGGTTGGCCCCCAATATAAATGTGTATGTAATGCTGTACTACTTTAAAAAGGTTTAAGATCCCCACCATATTAAAAAAGATAATTTACGTCCGTGCTTTCAGGATTTGGACTGAGTGTTAGGTGTCCGTCGAGACTAAGTACAAATCAAATTTTGACATCACTATCTGAAACATCTCTAAACTATAATGGGAGCGTCACTTTAGCATAAAACATGTATAGCTCCGATCCGATTTGTGCTAATATGAACATCATACAGCTGGTTCGTCCTTCTAGGACTCATTGGTGATGCTTGACTCAAAAAAGGTAGAAATCTAAAGAGTCTTATTTATTTAGAAAACCATTTAAAAAAAATATGAATTTTAAAAAAATAGTCGAGTATTAGTCAATTTCAAATAATAAGGAGTAAAATGTGTATATTCTAAATCCTGCAACTATTCAAAATTCAAAAGAAGTAATTCAGGCTATCAAGACCGGCATAAGG